TGCCCTACCACCTTATGTTGGCTTTACAGATGAGAACCTACTGCCTGCACAGGAGCCGATCCAAATCATCCTAGAAGTTGGTGGGATCTCCTGGCCATCCCCACAGGGCATCTGTCAGACCTGGGGAAGCGTTGTTCCAAATTTCCCAGATAGCTGCCCAGAACTTTGCCAGACCATTTCGCTCTCAAGAGGACTCTGTTTATACACTCCAACATACAACTACGCTCCTGTGGAGTCTCAGATAATGAGCCAATTTTGTCTTTTATATGCCAATTTATCTAACACGTAGCACCCAGTCAGTCGCGCAGAGACTGCACTGCTTCGGGTTCTCCACTCTGCGGGGCAGATACCATCCCATTTCAACTTGTACAGGAAGGAAGCATTTAGCTCCGAAGATGCATTTACAGCACAAGAATTTTCTTCTCTGAGCTAAATGCTGGTGTTTTGCTCCTTCCCTAATCTCACTCCCTAGGAAACGTACAAATCTGGACAATCTTTATCAGCTGAGGGGGGTGGGAGGGCAGTTTTAGATGAAGCTCTTAACAACCGCATGGCTTGCTTTCTGAGAAAAAACACCAGCAATTTAGAGAAATTAAAAAGCTAAATGAAGTCCTTAAGTGTTCCCCTTAGTTGCCTCCAAACTTTTTTTCTAATCCCTTTGAACTCCAATTTCTGTAGTTTAGTCAACAGCTTGTTTAGGATTACTATTTTCCATCCCAATTGCAAGAGGCTGTGCGTGTTTATACATGTTATACACACACACACAAATGTCCATCAGAATAGATTAAAAAGCATAATCCTTATAAAAAGCCGTAACAATTTCAGATTCTGCGGCATCATGAATAAAGGCGTTAGTACTACAATTAAGGCTGAAGTCAGAAAGCGCATTTTTGAATGAATTCCTGAAGGGCTTTGCTGAATATGTCAACTTCTGTTTCCAGACAATCGCCCCTGGTCTGGTATGTGTCTTCCAGTGGGAACACAATGGCTTTTTTTTGGTTTGTTTTAACCGAAGTCATGTTCCCATGGGTGGCTCCCCCCTTCAGTCAGACCCAGTACCCCTAATTATGCAGAAGCAAACACAAGCACGCCAGCAAAGAGGCTGCTAGGCCAGCCAGGGACACAGCCCTGCAAGGTCGGGGTGTTTCCATGATGCAAGCAACCATCTCCCCCCATCCAAGTCAGAGCAGGCACTGGGGACATTAAGTATTACCAGCGGTGCCTGAAGTACCACTGAAACCCCCGGAGCTCCCCAGACACAGCACCTGAAGCTACTATGGCAGGGGGCAGCGGCCACGTGAACGCAGCATTCGGAGCAGCGGCCATGCAGGGACCCCAGCACCCACGCACAGCCCCAGCCTGCGCTGCCAGGCCCCTTGCTCCACCTGCGGTGCTGGGCTTGCTGGAGAAGCCACCCTTGGGGGATGCTGCAGGGTACCCAGCCCAGGCTGGCCAGGGGCTCCCTGGGAGCGAGGGCCAGGCTCACCCTGCAGCATCACACCACAGGGCAGCCGCTCGCTGGCTCACGTCCACCAATTCAGGTACATCAATCAATCAGGTACATCAAACAGAGCCTCGTCAGAGCCAGGGCAGGGGGTCACAGCCCTGCAACCTCCCCAGTAATGTGCACTGAACTGCGGGGAAACTCCCAAAATCAACAGCTCTAGCTCAAGAGCTAGCTGCTCGTGAGAGCTGCAGGGAGAAAGCAGTGCACCTCCCTGGACCCCCCTCAAAATCCCTGCCAGGGACCACACGAGGCAGTGCAAAGCATCGCTCGAGGGTTAAGAATAAACAGCATGGCTGACAGTGCACAGCAATGGGCATTTGAGAGAGGCAGGGCAACAACCTGGCAGCTGAGAACACGTGGGCCACAAAGCAGCCCAGCAAACACTCAAAACCCCACAGCTTTTACTAATTCCTGGCCCTAACAAAGCTCTTGGGGCCCTGCTGATGAAAACTGCCTTCTAGAACAGGAGAGGATCCTTTGTTTCAGGAGTACAACACGAGTCGCAGAGGATGACCACAGCAGAGCCAGGTCATTAGTGGAACACAGCCAGCATCCCTGCAACACTGCTAAGGGTGTCACCTGTGCCGACTGCACTGACATAGGAAGGATTCCATACAGCCCGCGGCAGCGTCGCACAAGCAGCACGGGATGCAGCTACCCTTACTGGAGCTCCTCTGCTGCCAGAGAGCAGACTGCAACCTGCCCACACCAAGTTAAGGCCAAAGCTAATGATACGTGTTCTGAAAGCAGTGATTGTACACCATGTGCCTTGGTCCAGCATTTACATCTGTTCTGACAGCACCTTCCCATTTTCACTGTGGGCACAGAGCACGTGACCCTACCACACGCTGAAGTTTAGGACAGTGTTTCACGGTAAAGGACCGCTTTTCCATGTTTGGGATGGAGGTGAAAGACGCCTGCCAAGGATGGACAGAAGGAACAGGCGGAGGAGTGCAGCAGACACCGCAAAACTCTCTCCAGTGCCATACTGCTGCACACTGCCATCAATCCTCTGGTCAGGGCAGACAAGAAGCAAGGCACCAGGGGGGGATGGGAGTTGGGCATCTCGTGACTTGTGTCATGACTGCTCAACTGCACTTCAGCTTCTGCCTGTACACATGAACATCTTCCAGGGTTTGGTTTTTTTTTTTCTTTTGGCAATCTGGATTCTCTAGACCGAGACTCCCTAGCAGCAGCCTTAACTTTACTATCTTTGAAAGGGTAACAAGACTCCTTAGTGACCTAACCCCTGGGTGCCCCCAAACTGCCTATTAGTGTCAGAGAAGTTCATGACAACTGCTTGTTTACATGGAGAAATGTGTCTCTCTGTACACCCAGGTGACAGGATCCACACAGATGCAAGGCAGGCTCGCGGGTTCCTCTGCAAGCTGAGCGCTCACTGTCTTGACACTGATACCTCTGAGGGAAACAACTCTGCCTTAGGTTCACTGGAAGAACAGAAGACCTTGAAAAATTACTAATATATTGACTTTAAGTCCACATGACTTTTCAGGGCACGGATTTCCCCTGCAAAGAAGTAAAAATGTATTAATAAACTGTAATAGTCTCACATAGGAAACGGGGAGGCAGGAAAGCTACTAACCTTGGGAACTTGAAGACCAGCCTCTTGCTTTTTTCCTCCCAGCTGCAAATCAATCATCTACTTGACAGCAGGCTTTGGATGTTATGCCACTTCATCAGCAGTCATCATCTCACCTTTTATTTGGAATTTGTGAACAAGCGTTCAGTTTATTAGCTTGATAAAAGCTCAGATGCATACAGCTGCAAACATCAGGCACCTCAGCACACACGAACGCAGAGCTCCCAACTATCTCAATGTTCTTCATGCTGTAGAGAGGCCAAGACCACCAGGATTTGAGGTCCACGGTGGAGACGGCGCGGTGAGAAGTCCATGCTCACTGCACCATCACTCACACTGTTCACGTGTTACCTTCCCAGCTACGACTGGCAAGCACAGCTCTCACACCGTACTCGCATCTAAAATCTGGAAGATGTCACACACACGGCACAGGTTTACAAGTCCTCTTGGCTTTCTTCTCTCAAGCACATCAAGAGCCTTAACACAACACTGCGTTGTCCATGCACCTAGACCATACGTGACTTAGTTTAAAATAGTAAGCAATTTGAAGTCCCTGAGTTACACGTCACCACCTTACACCATTCCCCCAGAAGTCACAGCGTGCTTTCTGGTCTACCGATTAGCACTGCTCTTCCAAACAGCACCCCGGGGTGATCTCATGAGGCATGCCACCCTCCTGTGTCCAAGGCAGGTCTTGCTATCTCCACCTGGAAGCAGCTATCAGGAGAGCACTTTATCAGACCAGAGGCAAACAGCCCGCAGGCATCTGGGCACACAGGTCTCTCTCCTTCAGAAGTTGGTTCCTGCTGTTGCTTGCATTTAAAAGCAAGCTCTGTATTTCAGACAAAACAAGGAACCCTTGCCAATCAAAAGCAATTTTCAACAAACGATCATGAGAAGAGTACCAAAAGCAGAAGTATCAAATGTAACTAACTTGTAAACAGTGACATAGCAGTAGTAGATGCAATTAACATGAATGACCACAGAGACAACTCAGTTCAGAAATAGCCTTTTGTCACAAAGTCTTTATGGCTTGACAGAAAGAAAGTTGGATTTGTTTTTGAAATGGTTAGTGCAATTTTATTTGAGAGGTCAGCTATACGAAGAGTTGAACAGGAAAATCCAGTATGACACCTCAGCTTCCAAGTTGTTTCTGAACCTGATCTGAAATAGGGCACTGGACTCTAGATAAG